TTTGGCATGTCCAGTTGTATCAAAAAATGGAGGAGAGCATTACGTGATGTTTTTATTCACACGAGAGACATGAAGAACATCCCGCGAATAATCTAGAGCAATAACGCAATGTGAATATTCGTTTCGCTTATGGTGCACACACCATAGAATTGAGGGCTTCAATGTTTTCTTTTCTTCATTAATTGAACAGCAGAAAATAAGAATGCACATATAAATTACAGATCAATATATAAGGAGTATCTATTCACCCCCTCCACGATTGTGCAATCCTCAGTTATGACTCTGTTGCAAAAAATCAAAGCTCACCACATTGAGTTTACAAACGCCTCACTCCAATCAGACCAAATGACTCATGAGTGATTAGTGTGTCCCCAGTAGGAGACAGGTACCCATGTGTGTCTTCATTCCACCATGAGGACCAGAAACAACAAACCCCTTACTACTTTGGCCTCTGTGATTTATTATGGCTATTACACATACACAGACGGTAGGCCGGAAAACAAGCGTGTTTATTTTTTAATCACTGCAGTGCATAGCATGCTCTCTAATCATCTATAATCGCCTAGTTAGTGCTTCAGCCTGATTAGTGGCTGGCTGAATACTACTGCAATGTTGTGTACGTATGTGTAGCTGTGCTGATTGTTCTATGGTATTTGTTAAGCCATGTTCTGTACCCGTCATGTCGAACACACTAAACTGTTTTCGACTCGTTATATCCATGTCATCTGACGATTAACACATAGGCTAGGGCTGTGCAATTCTCCAATCAGACCAAATGACTCATGAGTGATTAGTGTGTCCCCAGTAGGAGACAGGTACCCATGTGTGTCTTCATTCCACCATGAGGACCAGAAACAACAAACCCCTTACTACTTTGGCCTCTGTGATTTATTATGGCTATTACACATACACAGACGGTAGGCCGGAAAACAAGCGTGTTTATTTTTTAATGACTGCAGTGCATAGCATGCACTCTAATCATCTATAATCGCCTAGTTAGTACTTCAGCCTGATTAGTGGCTGGCTGAATACTACTGCAATGTTGTGTACGTATGTGTAGCTGTGCTGATTGTTCTATGGTATTTGTTAAGCCATGTTCTGTACCCGTCATGTCGAACACACTAAACTGTTTTCGACTCGTTATATCCATGTCATCTGACGATTAACACATAGGCTAGGGCTGTGCAATTAATCGCATGTGATTGTCATGCACATCTCGTCAGTAAAGCCGGTCCCGTGATTAGTAGTAAATCTCCATCACCTGCTTTCAGATTGAGCGGCATTCACTACACAGAGCCGTAGTTCACTGACAATTAGGCAATAGCACGTTCATAATCGCAGATGAATCGCATTCGATAATCAACGCGATATCGCCTAGCTTGTCAGTGAGCTACGGCTCTGTTTATTAAATGCCGCTCAATCTGAAAGCAGGTGATGGCGATTTACTACCAATCACGGAACCGTCTTTACTGACTAGATGCGCATGACAATTGCATGCGATTAATTGCACAGCCCTAACATAGGCCATAGGTATTTCAGAAGCTGCTGGAGATGGATTAGAGCAGTTACACATGGGACCTGAGCCCACACAGGACACAATCACACTCCTCCATCTTCCTCTTTTCCTGCTGACCCCACCTGACCTGAACCATTCAGGTCTTTGTTGGTCAGGTGTGTGTTTGTACTGTATACTTTATATGACTGTGTACAAAGAAGCCTTAGGCTTAGTGTAGTTCATAGCCATATGGCCAACTGATGTGCGTGGTGATGCTGACCCTCCCCAGTTCTCAGCGTCTGATTCTGTAAGAACAACCTTACGTCGGGGCTTTGCTGCAGCCGTTGGTACATGCTTACAATGTGAAGTGACCTTGAAAAGTATTTGTAAACTTAAGACACTTTTAAAACTGTGTGAGTTTCATTGCATTTGATGTGGAAGTGGAATTCATTTTAAAGATGGTGCAAGTGCAAAACATGTCCATAGTTAAAGTGATGAACAACTTTGGAGTAGTTGGTTAGATCTGGCTCAGAAAAGTTAGTTGAGAATAGGTCACACATTATTTGCTTTTCTGATGCCACCTGGCTTGATATTTTGTTTTCAAATGCAGTGACATTCATTCAGTGTGGCTTAAATACTTTTTAAGCTTCTATTTTTATTTTATTTTGTGTTAGGGTAAATGTACCTATTAAGCTCACATACCCATTAAGCACACTTCCATATTTGAGCTCAGATTATAAAAAGAAAAAATAATGTATTATCATACTTGATGTCTTAACAAATTGATGTGTTTGTTACTGCATACCTCCTGTAATTTCAAGTAAATCAGATCATTGCACACTGAGATATGGGTCTCCATGTGTTCACACTGTCTGGCGGCCATTTTGAAAGCTGTCTGAAAACTTTCACCAAAAGAGAAGCCCCAGTTTTTAGATATTTAAGCCTTTATTTTGGGTAAGTTTCACTACTTATTGTAAAATTAAGAGATTAATGTTTAGACTTTTGCAGATTATAACCTGGAAACTGGATGTGGGAAATAATTACAGTTAGATCCAAAAGATAGTTTTAGCAACATAGCGCAGATGCTACAGAACACAGTTAGCAGACTAGCTGTATAAGATTGTGTGCTACGCTAACATATTACTTCACAGGCATTACTGGCTTGTACTTTTACATCCATAATATTATAAATTAACAGTTTATTGCTGGTCTGTGGTTTTA